TAGAATGGCGAACATCTCGGCTAAGTCGGACAAATGGTTTGCTTCATGTTGGCTCTTTACCACCATATCGTCGATGTAAGCCTCCATTGTCCGGCCAAGCAAAGGAGCAAACATTTTGGTCACCATCCTCTGAAAGGTTGCCCCGACGTTCTTCAAACCAAAAGGCATGACTCGGTAGCAGAAGAGTCCCCTTGGAGTCGTGAAAGAGGTGATCTCTCGGTCAGGCCCATGCATGGTGATCTGGTGGTAGCCGCGGTAGGCATCCAAGAAACTGAGCCTATTATGTCCAGCCGTCAAGTCCACAAGCTAGTCAATTCGCGGCAAAGGGAAACTATCTTTGGGACAAGCTCGGTTGACTGTCTTATAGTCGACACAAACTTGCCACTTTCCATTCTTCTTCGACACCACTACTGTGTTGGAAATCCACCGAGGATAGTGCACTTCCTGAATTGCTCATGCCTCAAGCAGGTTCTTCACCTCCTCTGCAACTACCTCGGCGTGATGCAGTGCCGATCTCCTTGTTCGCTGGATGACTGGCTTTGCTCCAGGGAAGACATTGAGGTGATGGCACATAAACTTGGGTCGAGGCAAGGCATTCGTAAGGCGAGCACAGCGAGACATCGATGTTGGCAATAAAACTCAAACCATCTTCGGTCCTCTCTATGGCCGTGTAGCTTGAACGACGAGCAAAGAAGAACTTTAGTCCGGCTGTTCTGTGTCAATTCGCACCTAAACAATTCCTCAAATGCTTGTCTTCGGCCACATCATCCAAGACTAACCCTGTCCTACCGGTCCACTCAATCATTTGAACGAATCCTTTGGACAGCCCGGCTCCGTTGACCGCCACGAAGCACTGCTTTGGACATGACCTGATCGCCCAAATCTCCTAATTGCCCCATAGCCGAGGGGAATCTCATTACTTGGTGAAAAGTTGATGCCACGGCTTGCATAGCGTGAAGCCATCCCCTTCCAAGGATAAGGTTGTACGTCGAAGGCACTTGTAGCACCCAAAACTCCACTTGCTTGACCATGGATCCCGCTTTGACCGGCAGGATAATCTTTCCCAAGGGCCACTCTGGTTGTGAGTTAAATCCAACCAGTGGCGAAGTCGCCGGAGCCAAGTCTGTCTCCCAGAGTTTGAGCTGCTTGAACGCATCATAATACATGATTTCGACCGAGCTTCCCTGATCGATCAAGATCCGTCTAACATCGAATTCTTTGACGCGTAGTGTTACTACTAGGGCATCGTTGTGCGGCGTCTGGATACGCTCTAGATCCCTTGAGGTGAAACTAATCACGTCTTTTTCTTCAGTCTTCCCCCTTTTGATGGCAGGCTGTACCCACAAAACTTCCCTCATATGCTCTGCCTTATTTATCATGCCCCGGAGTTCGCAAATGCGCTCCGGTTCCACGATGCCGTGGATGACATTAATAACTCCCTGTGGTGGTGCGTCTCGGTCATCCTGTCCCCTGGGGTCGACCGGAACCTGATTCGGCTTCACGCCGCCATCAATGTAAAGGTCTAGATGCCCGGTCGCAACTAGCTCTTCTAAGTGTTGCCTCAAGGGCAAACAATCCTCAGTCCGGTGGCCCCTCTCCCGGTGGAATGTGCAACGATACCGCGGATTGTAGCCCTTTTGTCCATCGCCCAACTTAGCAGAAAACCGGACATACTCCTCGTCTCGGATTTCACTAAGTATGCGATAGATTGGAATCTTGAAGACCGTGGTTATGCCAGTCCTTGCCTGTATCCTTCTGTTTGCGTCCGCTACGTCATCTCGGGGGTAGTCATCCCGGTCATTCCGACGTCCTCTACCCCAGTTTTTACGATTCGAACCACAGTCCGATTCCTCTGCTCGGTCACTTGAGCGGCTGGACTCTTGCCCAACTGCGTGCACTTTACCTACTGTCTTCTTGTCTGTTGCTACCGGAGTGGCCTTCACGGTAGAAGCTGACGCGTCATCCTCTACTCGGATGTGCTCATTAATGCGCTGCATGAGCTGGCCCATGGAGGTCGGCTGGTGCATGGTAAGCGAGTCCCGCAGTCTATGTCCGACCGGGAGACCACGCTTATATTGCGTGATTGTAAGGTTGACCGGGCAGTCCAAGATCTCGTTGAAGGTTTCCCAATACCGTGAATTGTATGCCTTCAATGTGTCGCTCGGTTCCATCTTGACACTTAGCAAGTGATCGACTTCCTTTGGTGTTTTTGTGTTGGTTTTGAAGCGTGTAACAAACGCCTCAGCCAACTGATGCCACCTTTGTATGCTCCCTTCCAGCAACCTCTCGAACCACTTTAAACCCCGCTCGCCTAAACTTGACGGGAAGATTAGGCACATAAGTCCGTCATTGTGCCTATGTCCGGCCATAACCTATCGGAAGTGGCTCACATGCATGTATGGATTGGTTTTTCCGTCGTAAAGTGTGAACTTAGGCTGGTGGAAGCCTGCCGGAAGCGGTGTTGTTTCTATATCCAGGGAAAAAGGGGTGGCACTCAGCCTAGCCAAGTCCGTATCTTCAAAGAGTGGCACTGCTTGGCGGGGTGGAGGCATTCCGACCTCCTCGCTGGCGTGAACCCCGTAGGATAGCCGCTGGAAAGCAGGTATTCTTTGATCTTCGCGCCGGCGAGCCCGCTCCTTTAAGACCGCCCGTAAATCCTCTGACTGAGCAGAGTAAGAGTACCTCGACGTCGTCACCAGACGTGAGGGTCTGTAGGTGCTGTCTTGCGCGCTAGACTTTTCTGCATGCGCGTCGGAATCACCAACCTGGTAACTTCTGGTAATAGATATGGACTGAGTACGTCGCTGACTCTGACAGCCTGAACGGCGGGATGGGGTGCGTTCACTGTGGTCTCCCACTCCAGCTACACCCTTCCCTTTGACATGCCGCTTCAGATCCTCCATCTCCGCCGCCATTCGCCGGATGACAGCGTCTTGATCCCTCAACTTATTTTCCGGACGTCTGGCGTGTGAGTCTCTCCTCCGCCGGTGACCGTCTGGACTCCGTGAATGTCCATGACTTCTTATGCGCTTATCTCGCGCGTCTCTTGACTGTCCTCCGGTGGGCATCCCCAAGTCCGCCATTGGATGAATGGTAGGAGGGCCTTCTCTCCTTCGGGTGAACTCCGGGGTAGCTCCATCTATGGCAGACAACGGAAACTCATCGTTGTTCGCCATGGACGGCGACCAGATAAACCTGGAAGACAAGGTTTTATCTGTCAACGTTCCCACAGATGGCGCCAATTGTACGGGGAGCAAATATTCCGGCAAGCCCGTGCTCATTTCTTCCAAGCTCCGTTTATGTCCGATCACCTGCGAGCAAATAACGGTGAGCTGCCCAGCGGTGTGTGGCCGGAAAAACCCTCCGACGATCAAGTTAGCACACACCTTAGGATAGAGAGAGAGAGAGAGGAGTGTTAGAGTGGAGGGGTTTTCTTACAAAGTGTTCCTCTGTCTGCGTATGGGGGGCACAGACATGCTTATATACCCTCTGCGTCTCATATCCACTCCCAGTCATCTCCCGACACGTGGCTCTGCTATCCCATCTGTCAGCATAAACCTTGCTGAACGTCACCTAATCCCAACTGCCTGCCCTCTCAGTTGCAGCTCGGCAGCCGAGCTTCTCTATCCACGGCCGTGCTGTGCTTCATACCCAAGCACTTCACTGGCTAGGCCCAGGGAGGACCGGGCTAGGCGTCATCTCGGCAAAGCCGAGCCCGGGGCACCTCCTGTGGTCGGCCTTCCTGCCGATCAAACGGTTTCCTCGGTTGACCACGCCTTTCCGGGCGCCGGTCACTCAGCTTGTCTGGCTTCAGCCATCCCCTGATCAAGCAGCTCGGTCCAACCGAGCACTGCCTTGCCGAGCAGCTTCTTTATGGTCTGGGGCAGCACACACTTGGCCCAATTTCTGCCCGGCCCAAGTTCTGGCAGCCCATCTTCGGGTGGATAGTCGATCATCTCGGCCCTATGCACCGTTGGGCTCTCAACCTGCTCGGCCGTTACCTCGGCCCAATTCCAGATCATAAATCACCCTCTCATTAGGGTATTTCCAAATATAAAAATGGCATTCTATGATCTAATTATAATACAAAATAAAATACAGAAAAATAATTCTTTCTTGGACCATTTTGTAAAATTTTATAAAATTTGGGATTAAAATGTAATTAACCTAAGGCTTAGGGTATCAAGTGTAATTACCAAAAATTAGGGTCTCTACATATATAATATGTAAGTATAACATTTTTACTTTAGAACATTTAATAAATACATAATATATGTGTTTTCATCAATTCTAATATTAACTATCATGTTGACAATATAGGAATAATGCCCACAACAATTTAGATTTTAGTTATAATATTTTTTATTCATTCGGTGAATTTCGAACAAATGAAATAAATTTTTATTTTTATTTTTATTGCTTCAATTATGAAATATCAACATTTTCTTTCAAAATTACGTATATTTTATGGTAACAATTTAAAAATATGTTTGACATAATCCTAAATAATTTTTTTAAATATAATCATGCGCATAACACGAGTGATATGCTAATCTTATTTAATGTAAACTGGAGTTTGTAATAAAAAAAAGCCTTGTAAAGCTCAAAAAAACCCGGACTAATTTTTATTTTTTTTGATAAATTAGAAATACACCATTGAGATTTGATTAAAATATGAATCGCCCTTGGAGTTTTCAAAATTACATTTTATCCCCTGAGGTTTCTAATTTCATAACAAATCGCTCATTTTATTAATAAATTATCAAGTCAATTAACAGTTTTTAATGATGTTAAAAATATGTTTCATTTAATAATTTATGTAATTTTATTATTGTATAAGATATCGATTATGAATTTTATTTTTTTAGTTAATTCTGTTAAATGAAAAATTCTAATAAAGAAATATTTATAATTTTTTAAACTATAAAAAACAATCTGTATTTTAAACAAATCTCAATAAGTATATTTGTAATTTACCATTTTTTTTTTTTTTTTGCCCTTTAAAATCTCAAATCCCACTAGAGTCTACAACTTTGAGGAGGGAGCATTCCGTTGTGATGCACATATGGCATCTCAATTGCCCATCCATCCATCCACGATGGACTTGTTTCAGTTTTACTGCAAAAAGTGGTTTCATGATCTCCACTCAGTGTATCTCTCCATCAAAATTGCGACATCACAATTCATAGAGTTGGGGTTATCGCATATGAATCGATTCCCCTTCATTGTTACAATCGTTGATGCCATGATATCCCTCTACTACCGGTCCTGTGGTTTGTCACCGTGCACCGTCGACTTAGATGATCACACCACCATGCACTATTGGACCGCCAACCACAGGCAGTTCAACAAACCAGTCCTACTCTTAATCCATGGCTACGGTAGCACTTCCACATGGCAGTTCATTCGCCAAGTGGGCCAACTGTCAGAAAGTTTCAATTTGCACATACCAGACCTGTTGTTCTTTGGCAAGTCCTACTCAAAACGGTCGGACCGGACAGTAGAGTTTCAAGCGGCTTGTGTGGGTCAAGGGTTGAAGAGATTGGGTGTGGAGAGGTTCTCGGTGTATGCGCTTAGTTACGGGGGTTGGGTCGGGTATCAGATGGCTCATATTTATCCAGAGATGGTGGAGAAACTGGTGATCGTCGGTAGTGGAATAGGGTTTACAGAGGCGCAGAAACGAGAACATCAGATGGGGAGAAAATGGACGGACATGCTTTGTCCTGAGAAACCTGACGATATGCGTTTCCTCACGGCTATAACAATCCACAAGTACACTATTTCCAAGTGGGTCCCTGACTTCTTCCTAAGGGAATTTCTCATTGTGAGTCTCTCTGTCTCTCTCTCTTCCATCCCATTGTTACTCCTTCCTTGCTTACCATGGCTGCGTCACTCCGTGCTTTTTGAGAAGTTAGTAAAAAATTAATTTTTAATTTTTTTATTAATTTTGAATTATATCATGTCTCACATAATTTATTCACAAAAAGACAAAATAAATTAAAAAAAATTAAAAAGTTAATTTTTTACTAACTTTTCAAAACACCCCACACTCATTTAGGGGAAATTATTTAGTATTTTCGAAATATTACGTGTCTGTATTCTATAACTAATCATCATTTAATATGTTCTTTATATTTTTTAATTACCTAATATAATACCTCACTTACCCACCTTCATCCGCATGTAATTCCTTCCACCTAACATGTTTCACTAAAATATACTCTCACAGTCCCATTTTATTAATCCACTTTTTTATTTTAATTGTTTTAAAATATTTGTCTATTTTTTATTTTGGAATGTTTAAAATTTAAATAGAAGGGCAATGATGGAAAAAAAATTCAAATTTGAATTTGATTTTTTTTATAGGTTGATTTCAAAAATTGAATTAAAATTTAAAGGTTGCATATCTCCTTAATAAGTTAGATTTTTTTTATAATGGGCAAATAATATTTTACATCTTTTTTTGTTATTTGATTTAACAAAAAGTAAGTAAAACATATTTTTTCACTTCTCATAATAATTTAATTTCACAAGTCAATTATTAAGAAATTCACTTTGGACTCAGTTCTTTTAGGAAATTGATCTTTTCAAAAAAAAAAAAAAATTAACTCTATATTAGTTTTCTACGCAACATAAATTTTTATTTCAAATGTCAATAAATTATTTATTTATTTTTTTTTTTTAATTGTGCAAAATCAATGTACATGATAGCTATTTTTTGGGATAAAGTCGAAACAGTCGAAGCCTTACTCTCATATGTTTTTTCATCCTAAATTGATTTATCGACAGAAATGAAAATATGAACAAAAAATAAATAAAAAAAGAACAAGATAATTTCACAATAAAACATCAAATAAATAAGAAATAGAAAAATTAATTATAAATAAATTAGTAGAAGTGTAAGTGAGTACAGATCACAACCACACATGTTTCACTTATTCATTTGATCATTCCCTAAAATGAGGGAAGTTATTTTTTGTTTTATTTTGCACAAGGTAGGATCTGCCAATTTTATTTCACTTTTCTTTTTTCAAATTTATGCTATGCTTAGGTTATGGAGTTATGGAGAAAAATAAAAAATAAAGAAAACAATAACAAAAATAAAGTGAAAAAATATTTCTTATTATTTATTATTTATTATTTATATTTCAAGTTTATTTTTTTAATAAATCAAAAATATAATATCAAAATTCAAACATAGTGTTAATGCTTATGGTAGAAAAAGTCAGCAAACTTTATTCTTTTTTGTTTTGAAAAAATTATATTAAAGTGGGTTTGACACAAAATAATTACAGATTTATGAAAAAAAAAAATATAATTATAATTGTTGATATTTATAAAATTCCCATTTATTTCAAATTATTTTTAAAAGATTGGACAAAATTGTAATTTTTTCTTTCTTCTTTTGAAAAATTCTATTTTGCCAATCATCTTTTATGTTGTGATCGTGGTGTACTCGTGTGTCTATTATACATGTGAAACTTATCAAGAATGATTGTGTATGTGAGAAAAACAAATATACAGTACAACCTATTAGACAAAATATTTTCTTGAGTTTTTTTTTTAGAAGGGATTTTCTTGAGTTTATAATTAGGAAAATTACAATTGACTTTACTTTTTAAAAAATAATTACAAATATATATATATATATATATATATTTATGTTTTTAAGTATTAATATGTATAAAATTTATTACTAATTAATAATTATTTCTTTGTAAATATCACTGATTTGACATTTTCTTTTTATAATTTAGGCAATGTGTTATTATTGGTCAAGTAACAAGAAGTTGCAGCATGTAGGATGCATGATAGGAGTTTCCAAATGCAATAGCTCCCAATCTTGAGTTCTATTTGGGATAATCAAATTGTTTTATTTATTTTTTATTTGGTGAGATATTAATTATAAATATGATAAGTATTATATTAAAGTGAACAATTAAAGTTTAACAATTAGTAGGCTCAATAAGTGCCATAACAAATAATTTCAACTTGAGAAGAAAAGAATGACACATATAACTTCATAATGAGGGAGCAATAAACACAACAAAAGATATCAAACTTTTTTTTAATAAAAATTGAATCTGAAATCTCATATTACAAGTGATGCTATACAACCATTAGGTCAAACACCTTCATTTAATCTAGCTTATTATGTAGTAGAAATGTCTGTTGTTTCAAACACATTTATTTATGCTGTGTTTGGTTGGGGGATTTGGAGAGAGATTTGGAAAGGGAAATGGAAAAGGTAGGTGAAATGTGAATAAAACATGCTTATATTTCACTTAGTTTCACACACCTTTTCCCTTTTCCTTTCCAAATCTCTTCTCAAATCCTCCAACCAAACATAGTATTAGAGTATTTAAAATTCAAATTTATGGTGTAGTTTCAATTTCTTATGATTACAATCACATTTAATTTGATATTTCAAATTTTGAATACTTCTAAATATTTTCCTTTTAATTTTGATAATTACGTGAAAGTTGCTTAATGGGAAATTTTGATATGATTTTTAAAAATTGTATGCTCGATAAATGGTAATTTATCATTTATTTATATTATTTTTAATTTTTGGATTATAAAAGTAATTAATTTTTTGAGGACTAGCTAGGCCTCACCATGTGTGTTTTTTATGGTCCAAACCATTCATTTTGCAGATGAAAAAGTATATATCCTCTGCAAAAATGAAAAACTAAAAAGTTTGATAATCATAACTTATTTAATTTATCATTTTTTTATTTGATAATTGTAATTCAATTTATCGTGTTTTGTCACACACAAAAAAAAAAAAAGAAGAAGAAAATTACTATGTAGTCCTATGTAGGGGATCTATTTCCCTTCTAATCCCAATATATTTTCAATAGATTAATAGGTCCACAGTTTTTTAAGTTTTATACCCAGAGGTCCCGTTTTTTATTTTCGTATTTTGTAAATGACTGTATTACCCTTTGTTTTGAGATCTATATATACGTGAAAAATCAAATTTTTGCTCCGTTCAAAAAAGAAAATCAAATCTTAGTCTCTGCGATCTCGATTTCTTTTTGTTATGACGATCTCATTGTGCTGTGTGGTCGATCTCATTGTGCTGTGAGGTGGATCTGGTTGTGCGATCTGAATCTCTGTGTACAGGCGATCTCTGCGTACGTTCTCTTTCTTTCCCTCTCTCTCTCTCTCTGTATCTGGTTTGTATCTGTCGATACATATATGTATGTGTATGTATGTATCTGGCGATATATACATATACATATATATATCTCTGTGTGTGTATGTGGTTTGTATCTGTCGATACATATATGTATGTATATATAGATAAGCAAATTTGCGTGATATCTGGTTTGTGTTTGGCAATGTTGTTTTAGTTCTTTAT